GTGCTGTCAAACGATTAATCGCGATTAATCGCATACAAAATAAAAGTATTTGTTTGCATAATATATTTGTGTGTTCTGTGTCTCTTTACTATGTATATATAAATACACAAACATACAGTATATATTTTGAAAATATTTAAATGTATTTACATGTCTATAGTTATATAATTTATATTATAAATAAATATATTTAATATATAAAATAACATATTTTTTCTGAAATATATACATGCATGTGTGTGTATTTATATATACATAATAAATATACACAGTATACATACAGTACATATATTATGTAAACAAAAACTTTTATTTTGGATGCGATTAATCACGATTAATTGTTTCACAGCGCTAATTATTTTACTATGTACAAAATGTGAGAAAAGCAACAAGCTCACAGGAAATAAAGCATACACTGAATACAATAATATACTTAATATTTCATTGATTCTCCTTGTTTTTGATTACAGAAGCCATTTTCCAGGGCAGTACTCAATACGTTTTGTGTGTGATGTGCGTGTTTGTTTTTATTTATTTATTTATTTTTATGGCATAATTAGTTTCATCACATTATTACAAATGAAACAACTGAGCGCATACATTAGATTTACGCTCCAAGCACAACTATGCAATATGCTTATAAAATCCTTAATAATAAAATGTTTGAATAAAGAGCAAAGATTCATTTTCCTAGGCTGGACATCACTTTCAGCCAATACACTGTATATGCAAAATTCACTTTTGTTGTTGTTTGAACATAAATGTGTGTTGGAAGTGTGTGTACACATCCACCCTATAATGATAAAAATCCACCCAGTGTTTTTTTTTTTAAATCCCTATTTTAAAATCCCCTTTCTCAAATCAGGCTGTTCTGAGTTTCGTGTCAGAATGACGTAGTTCTGTACAGGCCCCTCCCACGATAGTTGATTGACAAGGCCGTCTTACCTTAGACCCGCCCTGAGTGAGCTGTCATCAGTCCACCATTGTGTCGACTCCGGTGCAGGGGAAGACTAGAATGTGTCCGATTAAGCGATTGAGGTGTTTTGTTGTTGGATGTAA